GCTGTGAGGCTACCTTAGTGAAATACCAACCAGATTATATTCTCTTTCTCTCCCACCCAACACAACTTGTGTAAATCTACACAGCTCGTGTCGTCATACAGCCCTTTCGCATGGTTTCATTTGCAAATCTATTTAGAGTGAATTAGGATGTGAGGAGGATTATTGCAGAAAAGAGAGGATCTGTTCATAAGATCTGCTGTACAGTCCAGTCAGGGGGTATTAACCCCTTTAACAGTCCAGGATTATTACATACAAAGGCTTATTATTCAGTAGCTACAGGGACTTTAATGCGAACTGGCTGAGCTATTAGAAGTGTGTAATAAGACTTTGGGCCTGTCGGCTGGTCTGTGGCCTGGTAAGGGGTTTACTTTCTTACTATGTGTGTGTGTGTGTGTGTGTGTGGGTGTGGGTGTGTGTGGGTGTGTCCTGATTTTCTGCTGTCTTTATGTCCTAATTTTCTTTTCTCTTCTTATGTATGGGACCTACACTACTGCTCAAACGTTTGGGGGTCACTTTGTGGAGTATAAAATCAATTTCAATGCAGAAATGTGTATTAAATGATTCTAGGACGAAACTAAAGGCTAACAAGTGTCAAACCGTTTTGCAGGAAGCTGTAAAATCAAGATGTTTTGGGTGATAAATGGAGCTGTGATTTCATGATTATTCAGAAGTCTGTACAGCATTGAGAACTTCCAAAGAATCTAACGTCCAAAATGCCTCGTACTTGAAAACCGATAACCAAATCTCAGCCATTCATAATATTTTTGTGACAACAGACAAAACAATAAAGAGAAAATTATAGCTCAATATGTAATAACACTTCTATATCAAGCACTGGTTTAAGTTTTGGTGTCTTAAAAAATGGTCCTACAAGGGTTCTTTAGTAAAGACAATGTTTTTATATAGAGCTATAAACACTCAAAGAGCCGTGTGCATGATTAAATGATGAAACAATTCCTTAGATTGATGGAGAAAAGAGTTCTGCTATTGTTAATAATGTCAAGCTTGTGACAATAGAACCTTTTTGGTGCTATATAGAACTCTTTTCTAAAAGGTTCTATGTGGAACAATATACAACACTGCTCCTAACTCCTAACAACCACCTGGAAGACCTGCTAGACAACAAAACTGCATTCCTTAAAGTCAAAACAGCCATTAAGTACAGCTTGTTCATTATTCAGGAGATGCTTATGAGGAGATTTGATATAAGATATTCTACGTCAATTAGGCAGTCAGAGAAAATGTATGCTCCTAACAACCACCTGGAAGACCCGGTAGACCCCAAAACTGCCCCCATCAGATAAACAGCACTTAAAGCTTCCATCTCTGAGAGAGAGGAGAAAATCAAGCTGCTTCAGATCTGAAAACATCCACAGGTGTTTCTGTCCATCCTTCCACTGTGAGAAGACGACTCAGCGCTGTGGGTCTGAAAGGATGTGTAGCTGTCAAGAAGAACCTCACTGAGAAAAGGAGACGGACACATCAAACAAAGAAGCTGAACGATGGACTGACCACCCCAGAGTCCAGACCTCAACATCGCTGAATGTGTTTGATTACTTCAGAAAATGATCAACCAGCTTCTAAGACCGAACTTTGGAGGTGTGGAAAAATCAAGAACTTGTACTTAAAGACCATTTTATTAGAAATTAAACACATGTATTGTACATATCGGACACATGCTTGACCCCACGTCCTTACACTGTATGAAAACAAGTGTGAGTGTGTCTGTGCGCATGTGTAGGTGTAAATGTGTGAGTTTGAGTACAGTTTGGACTCGTCTGCAGACAAAACTATGGCTCAATGACAGATACTGTGAGATCTCAAGGTTGCAAGAGCATCAAATACACAAGGTTAAAGAGCTTAGAAATAAACACAGCACACGGTCACTCTCTCTCACACGCACACACATGCAAACACGATTAAAGCCTTGGGTTCACTACACAACTTTACAGTCTTAACAGATTATAAAAGACTGAGCATCTCACACTGTCAGACTGGTGTTTGCAGATGTTTTGGGGGACTGAAATATTGGGGATCACATGCTAAACATTTAGGAATCACACACTACTCAACTTTTGCTGCTGCTGAACTGAACAGAACTGAACTCTTGCACACTCTTGCAAACTCTCACGTTCTCCTGTTACTAGGAGATGCAAATAAACAAACGTGGAGCGGCTGCTGCTGTTTTTTCTCTGCCGTTTGCGCCGACGCTGTAAAGAAGCAAACATGTTCACAGTCATGGATTTAAAAATGTGGTCAGTTTGGTATTTTCAGAGTTTTAAATGTACATAAACTCGATTGTGCCTTAAACTCAGCTCATTAAAAAGCTTCGTTCCACACATGAGAGACTTTTCAACATTTTCCATCGTTTACTTGCTGAATTTTCTTCTTTTGTGCTCTCGGCTTTCATCGGCTGTTGCAGAAGTCCATTCGGATTGAGTGGTTGACCAGTTTGCACTACTAGATCATGAGTCGGGCAGGAAAAATTAAGCGTTTGATAAACTCTGAAACGCGATCAGTAGGCCGAAAATTTGAGTCTGTGCCCCTCAAACACGACTCGACTCCCTCTCCAACTGTCGACTCTGACTGACCCAAACATCTGCAGACTAAAGCCGACCAGCTCAGACTCGGCCCGACTGAGAATCTGGGCTAAAATAGGGTTAAAAGTCATGTAGTGTAACCCCGGCTTAAAACTGCTTGCTAGAACAACTTGGCTACTCTGAGTACTTGTGGTTTCAATATTTTGACTCATGTATCGTCATAAAATTAGAACAGATTCCCATTAAAAAAGCAGATCCAAAGTAATTTCCCAGTAAAATCTACATGTGCACCTTTCTGGATAAGCGCTCTCCAACTCTTTTAAGTTGCGGAAACTTTGTCTATCATAAAAATCAATGGGCTCACATTACCTGGCGGGCACAAAAACAGAAATGTCCCGTAAAATAAATAGTTCTGGACCAAAAATTGACTGTGCCATTGTAAAATAGTCAATTTGTGCACAGCTCTCTCTGTCTTTGTGTAATGGAGAGTATTATTGCATAAAACCACTAAAACCCTGTGCCTGTAATCGTCTTTGCTCACACGGTGTGTCCTGATGAAGTACGAATCTGGTTCCGTTTAAACTGAAGGGCTGCCAGCTTATGTGCTTAACTAAAATTAGGCTAATCTGTGGGCTAACAGGATAAACAACTCCTCCGTTAACATCACAGGCTGTGAAGTCCTCACTATAATACAATCCATTGAATGTCTTACTTCTCCTGTCTGTGTTGTTTTTCTCTGAAACTGAACTGCGACTGACTCTCAAACGGCTCCCTCCGTCCTCCATACTGTAATGTTTAGGTTCTGAAAGTCGGACTTCTTAAGGGAGCCTTTATGTCCCAAAACAAAGCAACCCTACCTTTTGTTTGCATGTTAGCGTTAGCATGTGACTTCTTTGTTCCGTCCTTGGCATTTGATATATGAGCTGGGAGGAGAAGGTTCCTCCTTAAACGCTGTGAATGGAGCCGTCAGAGAGACAAAAGAGAAGCACAGGATTAAACAGCAGGAGCCGTTTCCTCTCCTCCCTCCTTCCTTCAATTCTTTCGGCATTTTAACTGCCCTGAGCTGAACTAGTGATGGATGGACATTTGATGGTCCATATGTGGGTCAACATTTCAAAGTCCCATTAGGATAACTACAGAACATCATAACTTCATAGACGTTATGGGGTAATTTATAGTTATTGAATAGTTGATGGAAGGTTTGTAATATTTTGCTGGTCACTGAATAATTCATAGTAAATACTGAATAGTTCATAGTAGTTACTGAATAATTCATAATAGATATGGAATAATTCATAGTAGATACTGAATATTTCATCATAGAAACTGAAAAATTCATAGTAGATACTGAATATTTCATAATAGTTACTCGAAAATTTCATGGTAGACTCTGAAAAATTGACAGTAGTTATTGAATGACTCACAATGGATACTGGATAATTTACAGTAGTTACTAAATAATTCACAATTGATACTGAATGATTCATAACAGATACTGAATGATTCATAACAGATACTGAATGATTCATAACAAATACTGAACATTACATATTAGATACTGTATAATTCATAGTAGATACTGAATATTACATAGGAGGTACTGAATAATTCATAGTATTTATTGAATATTTTATGGTAGATACTTAATATGGCCTAGTAGATACTGAATAATGCATAGGATTTAATCAATATTTCACAGTAGTTACTGAATGTTTCATAGTTGATACTGAATAATTTATAGTAGATACTGAATAATTAATAGTAGTTACTGAATAATTCATAGTAGATACTAAATATTACATGTTAGATAGTGAATAATTCATAGTAGATACTGAATATTCCATACTAAATACTGAATGGTTCATAGTAAATACTAAATATTAGATAGCAGATACTGGATATTTCATATTCCAAACTGAATTCTACATAGTAGATACTGAACAACTCATAGTTTTGGCTGAATATTTAGTAGTAGGTGGTTGCTAGGGCGTTGCTAACCAGTTGATTTGGTGTTTCAGGTGGTTGGCAGGGGTGTTGCTAATGTGTACCGTGATAACATAAGAGGGGTGTACAAACTCTTGACCGTATAATGTACGACGACTGTGGTGGCAGTATACGTAAGAAGAATGTTTATTTCATAAACCATACATCCATCAAACAGTCTGTTCTACAGTTTCTCTTTAGATTGAATGAATAACCGACTCTAAATGTAGGTATTGTGATATAAACTGAGTCAGTTCTACAGTTTCTCATTAGGCTGAATGAATAACCGACTCTAAATGTAGGTATTGTGATATAAACTGAGTCTGTTCTACAGTTTCTCATTAGGCTGAATGAATAACCGACTCTAAATGTAGGTATTGTGATATAAACCGAGTCTGTTCTACAGTTTCTCATTAGGCTGAATGAATATATGTACATTTCTGGAGTTCTTTTTGTTTGTGTTTGCGTGCAGGTTTGATGGCGGGAGGGAGGTGCTCCCGATGGACTTTTTTTTCCCTCCTCAGCGCATCTGCCTGATCTGCTCTGATGAAGCGTCTGGGTGTCATTACGGAGCGCTCACCTGCGGCAGCTGCAAGGTGTTCTTTAAGAGAGCTGCTGAAGGTAATACATATACACACAATGTTGGGGCACTGTATCATATATACAGAATATATGTCATTTCCTGCAGTACCAACCACCTTTCATTTGTTTGTTTTCCCACCAAATGGCCTTTAAGTAAAAGTTATAAAATAAGATCCACTTAAATAAAGAAGGAGAAAGTCACAGGAAAATAAGTGAAAAAAGAAAACCTTCATAACGGACTGAATTCAGGACAGTATCTATTACAGAATAACAGTAACTTCATAATCTCATCATGAACTCCAGATAAGAAAACAGCATCACACAAACATCCTAACTAGACTAAACCTCCTAAATCCTGTCCTAACTTTAGGACGAGCCCCAACAGGGTCCTCACTTCTGTTTAAGGTCCGTTTCTATGGTTTTTAGGCAGCTGTGTCAGCAGCATAGTTCACTACCAGCATAATGAGCTCCATTTATTTCTACTGTAAAACGCTGCTTTCACTGTGAGATGATTTTCTTTTCTAACTCTGCGTTTTAAAGATCTCAGACGCTGCAGACTCGATCTCCACCGCCCCTCTGATCACCTTCGTGTGTTAATGTTGATGATGAAATATTACAGTGATGGTGGTGAATAATGAGACAGAGGTCATGTCAAGCTATTTTGGATGAATTAACACAGCACACAGCCGAATACTATTTTAGATATACACACTATATGGACAAAAGTATTCGGATACCCCTCCTAATTATTGAGTTCAGGTGTTTCAGCCGCACCCATTACTAACAGGTGGATAAAATTAAGCACACAGCCTTGTAGACAAACACTGGCAGTAGAGGGTCGTACTGATGAGCTCAGTGACTTTAATAGGATGTCACCTCTGACACAGTCAGTTTGTGAGAGTTCTGTCCTGCTAGTTCTGCCCCAGACAACTGTCAGTGCTATTATTGTGAAATGGAAGTGTTTAGGAGCAAAACAGCTCAGCCACGAAGCGGTTAGACCACCAAACTCACAGAGTGGGACCACCGAGTGCTGAAGCTCACAGTGTCTATCCTCTGTTGAATCAGAACTAAAGAGCTCCAAACTGCCTTTGGAAGCAACATCAGCCAAAGAACTGCACATTAGGAGCTTCACGAAATGGGTTTCCATGGCTGAGCAGCTGCACACAAGCCTAAGATCACTATGCACAAAGCCAAGCGTCGGATGGAGTGGAGAAAAGCGCCACCACTGGACTCTGGAGCAGTGGAAACGTATTCTGTGGAGTGACCAATCACGCTCCTCTATCTGTCAGTCTGATGGACGAGTCTGGGTTTGGCGAATGCCAGGAGAACGTTACCTGCCTGACTGCACTGTGCCAGCTGTAAAGTTTGGTGGAGGAGGGATGATGATATGGGGCTGTTTTTCAGGGGTTGATCTAGAACCCTTAGTTCCAGTGAAGGGAAACCTTAATGCTTCAGCACCAAGACATTTTGGACAGTTGTACACTTCCAACTTTGTGGGAACCGTTTGGGGAAGAACCTTTCCTGTTCCAGCATGACTGAGCCCCAGTGCTCAAAGCAGCTCCATAAAGGCCTGACTGGGTGAGTTTGGTGTGGAAGAACTTGACTGGCCCTCACAGAGCCCTGACCTCAACCCCATCCAACACCTTTGGGGTGAACTAGAACGAGAGACAGACCCTCTCGTCCAGCATCAGTGTCTGACCTCACCAACGCTCTTCTGGACGAATGGGCAGAAATTCCCCCAGACTCTCTCCAACATCTTATAGAAAGCTTCCCAGAAGAGTGGAAGCTGTTAGAGCTGCAAAGGGGGACCAACTCCATATTAATGCCTATGGATTCAGAATGGGATGACACATGGGATGACCCCTGTACTAACACTCCATATCACCCAGTCTTTCACACACTCACACACCCTTTGGATCTGTCACACACTCTAATCTGCCTACCCCCCACCCTCTCCCCTCTCAGGAATGCCTGCTAACAGCCTGTAGAACATACAGTGGCTATATTCTATAAGAATCTATTACAGTCTGATTACAGCCACTCTTATCAGAAAAGACTCGCATATGCTGCCATATTTGCCAGGAAGCTTCATTCACTTTAATAAGTCAGCTGTTCTATTGCCTCAGGACTGGTTTAGGAGAGGCACAGTTGATCCACGTAGAATCCCTGACAGTGTTTGTTAATGAGAGAGAGAGAGAGAGTTTATTACAGCTTAATAGAGATAAAGAAAGCGAGATACAGTGTTTCCTTTCCAAACTTTCCAATAAGCCACTTGGACTCTTGTTTATTTTACTTCTTGAATGCTGAAAAAATTACAACTTGGCAACTGAATCTGAAATGTAGTCAAAACACTGATTATTTCTTGCGAAATAATAAGGTATGGAATAATATTAGAAATTAAAAGAATGTTAAAATATTAATATAAGATATTGGAATAATAGCAGATAAATAGTGTTATATCATTAAACATAAGATATTTCGGGCCATTTTAAGTGCTTTCACTCTCCAATTCGTCTTTTTTTGCAGTAAATAATCGAGATACAAGCCTTTAATTTGATTATCTTTTGACCCAAAAAACAGAACTATATTTCAAACTGAAAGCACATGAATTATCTGACCCTGATCCTCATTTATCCCTGAATGTTTAAACAACTTGTGCTCTTATTTTCCAGCAGATCTGGAATCAATTATAGACCTAATCTGTCAAACTCTACTGCCTTTTTTGGTTCCTTTCATTTTCCCTCACTGTCACTCAACGTGCAACAAAATAGCAGACCTCATATCGCCCCCTACACTTCCTGTAGTGTATTACAGTCTGTCAGAGTGACTGTGTGGATCATATGAACATTATAGAGGCTTTTTAAATGAAACAGTAGAAGCCATATCGCCCCCTACACTTCCTGTAGTGTATTACAGTCTGTCAGAGTGACTGTATGGATCATATAAACATTATAGAGGCTTTTTAAATGAAACAGTAGAAGCCATATCGCCCCCTACACTTCCTGTAGTGTATTACAGTCTGTCAGAGTGACTGTATGGATCATATAAACATTATAGAGGCTTTTTAAATGAAACAGTAGAAGCCATATCGCCCCCTACACTTCCTGTAGTGTATTACAGTCTGTCAGAATGACTGTGTGGATCATATGAACATTATAGAGGCTTTTTAAATGAAACAGTAGAAGCCATATCGCCCCCTACACTTCCTGTAGTGTATTGCAGTCTGTCAGAATGACTGTGTGGATCATATGAACATTATAGAGGCTTTTTAAATGAAACAGTAGAAGCCATATCGCCCCCTACACTTCCTGTAGTGTATTACAGTCTGTCAGAGTGACTGTGTGGATCATATGAACATTATAGAGGCTATTTAAATGAAACAGTAGAAGCCATATCGCCCCCTACACTTCCTGTAGTGTATTACAGTCTGTCAGAGTGACTGTGTGGATCATATGAACATTATAGAGGCTATTTAAATGAAACTGTAGAAGCCATATCGCCCCCTACACTTCCTGTAGTGTATTACAGTCTGTCAGAATGACTGTGTGGATCAAATGAACATTATAGAGGCTTTTTAAATGAAACTGTAGAAGCCATATCGCCCCCTACACTTCCTGTAGTGTATTACAGTCTGTCAGAATGACTGTGTGGATCAAATGAACATTATAGAGCGCTTTTTAAATGAAACTGTAGAAGCCATATCGCCCCCTACACTTCCTGTAGTGTATTACAGTCTGTCAGAATGACTGTGTGGATCAAATGAACATTATAGAGCGCTTTTTAAATGAAACAGTAGAAGCCATATCGCCCCCTACGCTTCCTGTAGTGTATTACAGTCTGTCAGAATGACTGTGTGGATCATATGAACATTATAGAGGCTTTTTAAATGAAACAGTAGAAGCCATATCGCCCCCTACACTTCCTGTAGTGTATTACAGTCTGTCAGAGTGACTGTGTGGATCATATGAACATTATAGAGGCTTTTTAAATGAAACAGTAGAAGCCATATCGCCCCCTACACTTCCTGTAGTGTATTACAGTCTGTCAGAGTGACTGTATGGATCATATAAACATTATAGAGGCTTTTTAAATGAAACAGTAGAAGCCATATCGCCCCCTACACTTCCTGTAGTGTATTACAGTCTGTCAGAGTGACTGTATGGATCATATAAACATTATAGAGGCTTTTTAAATGAAACAGTAGAAGCCATATCGCCCCCTACACTTCCTGTAGTGTATTACAGTCTGTCAGAGTGACTGTATGGATCATATAAACATTATAGAGGCTTTTTAAATGAAACAGTAGAAGCCATATCGCCCCCTACACTTCCTGTAGTGTATTACAGTCTGTCAGAGTGACTGTATGGATCATATAAACATTATAGAGGCTTTTAAATGAAACAGTAGAAGCCATATCGCCCCCTACACTTCCTGTAGTGTATTACAGTCTGTCAGAATGACTGTGTGGATCATATGAACATTATAGAGGCTATTTAAATGAAACAGTAGAAGCCATATCGCCCCCTACACTTCTACAATTAAAATTTTGTTCACAAAATTTATTTTCGAGGTAGTTGTTCAAACTGCAGTTAATAGATACTTTGTCTTCTTCTTCTTCTCTCTGTCTCTCCATCAGGGAAACAGAAGTATCTTTGTGCCAGCAGGAACGACTGCACCATCGATAAGCTGCGGAGGAAGAATTGCCCCTCCTGTCGTCTGAAGAAGTGCTTCGAAGCAGGAATGACTCTTGGAGGTAAAGCTGCGCTCGGCACTAAAATGAAATTGATCTGACAAGACAGCAACCTGACATTCTGCCTTAAACCCATCTTGAGCTTTCACTATGTCCATGACGAAGAGTGAGAGATATTACAGATTAGTACAGAGAGAGAGAGAGAGAGAGAGAGAGAGAGAGATGGGTATATGGGTAACATATCCTGTAATGTTTCCCCAAAAAAAAAGTTTTCCTTCCATTTTATTGCTTTTGCAATGCTTTTAAAACCTTAACCTTTACACTCTAAGGCCCCGTCCTATTTCTTCTTTTTACCCCTACCCCTTGTTTTCAAGTGTCACCCTAACCCCTTGGAACTGAGTTACAGGGTAGTGGTTGAAATCCTCCCTCTGAAATGGGACCCTCAAATAAAAAGAGCATCACTTCATTAACAGCTACCAGCGCTGCTCTGTAGGCGACCCTGCCAGTCTGCAGTGACAGCAGAGGAGGGTAAAGTTCAGCTCCTCACTGCTGGGCTTTAGTTACATTTAGGACACCATCTGCGTTCAAAGAGGGGGTCAATTATTTATTGTTCAGCCATCTTGCCGTTTGGAGGGTCATGTAGCCCCAACACTTCACCCCACCCCTCTATCTCAATAAGAATTGGGACACCCTCCCCTTAGAAATGAGGGCTAACCCTAGACGTGAGGGCTAAGGGCCAAGTGGTAGGGGCAAGGGGTGAAATGGGATTGGGCCTAAACCAAGTCTAAACTGCTGTAGGCTGAAGGGCTAAAGTGTTGTAGGCTGTTATGACGCATTTAAAAGTTTGGGCCTTTTTTATCACTGAATTGAAACAAGGGTTTGGGCACATTTTTGAGCTGAGATTGAAGCAGCTCTGGTCACAGGGTCAGCTGACTCTACATCAGCAGGTGAAGTCATGTCTAATATAAGCTGTAAATGCTCCTTCTTTGGCACAGCAACACCGAACAACTCAGTCAGGGGCTATGAAGGCATTTTTCACACAGAAGATTCAGACAAGTTAAGAGTATCTGCATCAGGACACATGCAGGGAACAGAGAAGGTGAAGCTAATCTAAAAAGTAGAGGTTGAACAGAAATGTTGGTAGGTTCGCTAACCACCTCTGGTAATGCATATATTTCGCCACCAAAACGTAGCCAGCAAAATCATCAGTACACATTGCGTGAAGGAATTCTAAGCACGCCAAATTCCTTGCACGAACATGTCACTATTACAGTGTCAAGACAGAACAGCAGCACATTATCCAAAATAAACCACTGGGCAGAACTCGTGTCCCTTAGACTTTGAATGGCCTGTTCCACTTTGCCAACAAACATACAAGCCAGTGAAAACAAAAGGTCTGAAAACAGGTTCAGCAGGAGAAAGGGGCGAGGCTAGAGGCTGAATATTCAAGTTTCGGTCCGAGAGCAGAGTTCTTAGCATTAACCTTTCAACGGTGGGATTCTAGTGGGCATTTTTGCGTTTGAGAGCTGGGCCACTCTGAGAAGTGGTCGGCCACGTAAAATGACAGAGCGGGGTCAGCGGATGCTGAGATGCATAGTGCGCAGAGGTCGCCAACTTTCTGCAGAGTCAATCGCTACAGACCTCCAAACTTCATGTGGCCTTCAGATCAGCTCAAGAACAGCGTAGAGAGCTTCATGGAATGGGTTTCCATGGCCGAGCAGCTGCATCCAAGCCTTACATCACCAAGCGCAATGCAAATCATCAAATGCAGTGGTGTAAAGCACCACCACTGGACTCTGCAGCAGTGGAGATACAAGCTGTATATTTGGTAGAAACATTCAACTTTTGATCCAAAGCTCATAACCATATTTCATATTTCTAACAGTACTGCCCCTGCTTTTCTATCCTCATTGCACTGAAGTCTACATTCTCACACTTTCAAGCTGGACAACTTCTTAGTCTTTGGTTTTCCTGTTCTTGTAAAGGGATTTTGCGAGCCACTGTTTTCCTATAAAACCTTTTTATAATGGCACAAACTCACAGCAGAAACGTTCCAGTAATATTGTCACTTATTTAATTGAATACACTTCATTTAAAAGGGTGCAATCTGTTTTTGTTAAACAGATGCAAAAACAGGCCAGTGTAATACTTACGTTGGAACCGGAGAACCATGCATCAAGTGCTTTTTAACCTTTATATTATTTTTCCCCAAACATGCAATGTTTGTAAACTGGCTAAATAAATAAATAAGTGAATAAATTGTAAACCTATTGAGCTAAACGCCTCCAACACTGCGGCATATGACGCGTAGCCAAGGGTGTTCCCGGGGCAGATGTGCAGTCTCTGTGGGAACCCTCACCCTCTGTAAAAAACATTAGAATGACTTCAGCTTTAAATGAAAGAGATTGCAACCATACTGTCACCCTGATGGACTGTGTATCATCACTTTTGGGTTTTGAGTGGTTGTGCAATTCTAATTGTGTTATGATGTTCAGCATTGGAAATGTGACATAGGCTTAAATCTGAATAAAAAGTCATTTCATCCAGAAAAGCACCAAATAGAAAGTGTTCCATAGTTTTTAAAGGGGAAACTCCACCAATTTTGCAAACTTACTCAATCATTCAATGGTTAAGATGTAAACAAAATTATTTAGAGTGGTTGGGTGTGAAGTATGCCTTTCTAGAGAACTTAGAGTCAGAATTGTTCACCATTATAGTACTAGGAACCAGATGTCCAAAGCACTTAATGGCTCTAACATCAATCAATCAATCAATCAATCAATCAATCAATCAACCAACCAACCAACCAACCAACCAACCAACCTTTATTTCGACACTGAAGTACGTTGAAAGTGACCCTCAGTTACAATGTAGCTAACCAAATTACAAGGGATGGAAAAATGTTGAAATGAAATTTACCACATCAAGACAATGTATTATAAAATGTTCAATAAATAAATAAATAAATAAATGCTCAAAAAACAGGCATTAATATCGATAAAATATATAATAAAAACACATGAAGCAAATGAATCAGCTTAGATAGTAAGCACTACTCATCATCAAAAAAAAACAACAGTTACAATAATGAATGAATGAATGAATGAATGAATAAATAAATAAATAAATAAATAAATAAAGGGAAAAGTGCTGCAGCTAAAAGCAGATTCAGTAAAGTTCAGTAAAAACTCTCAGTACCTGAAGGCTGATCCAGTCACTGTAACGGATCTGGAAATTATTGTTATTTGTTATTTATAGAGTATATCCAGTGGTTTGAGGATCCTGGCGGATGCATGTTTATAGACTATATCATCATATTCCAGTATTGATAGTAAGGTTGCCTCCACGACTCTCTCTGATATGCATAGGCAAACAGGATTTATTTTGATACAGGAATCCGAGCCTCTGTCTGCATCTACTGACCACTTAAAAGATCTGATATTTGTAGTGTAGATATAATGACGTCTGGTTCCTAGTACAACACTGGTGAACAATGTTGACATGGTCAGTTTCTTTAGAAAGGCGCGCTTCACACCAAACCACTCTGCATGATTTTGTGCATATCTAAACCATTTAATGATTGAAGTAATTTTGCCAAATTGGGGGAGTTCCCCTTTTAAGTTAATACAAATTGCAATACAAACGATTAATGTATACATTCACTGATGTCTGACCACTGCAAAAAAAAAAACAAAAAAAAAATTAGTTCATTTACATTCTGCAAAGAAAGGTTCCAGTCTGCACTTCTTCTTGTTTGATATAAAAAAATGACAAAACTCATGATGACAATGTAAAGGATGTTTTTACATTCTGCAAAACAAGACAACAACAACTCTTCATCAAATTCAAACCATAATAAAATATCTCCTCTTCTGCTCACAAGCTGTCAGACAGGAGGCGAAGAGGCAGGATGTATGCGCAAATAGAAAACTTTTATTGAAATTCAAAAACACTGGATATTTATGCACAAAACAAAACCCACAAAAGTTATGACACAAATGACTGGACGGCTGTGGACGCACAGAGATGAGACTAGAAACAGCTTGGAACAATTACTAATGGGTGGGCTGCTAACTACAAACAGGCGACTGTGATAATGAGGGGGCGGGGCTAGGACAAAAACAAGATAGAGGCTGTGTTCAAAATAACATACTGTATATTATATACTACATACTCTTCCAATATATATTATATACTACATACTCCTCCAATATATATTATACACTACATACTCCTCCAATATATATTATATACTACATACTGCTCCAATATGTATTATACACTACATACTCCTCCAATATATATTATATACTACATACTCCTCCAATATATATTATACACTACATACTCCTCCAATATGTATTATATACTACATACTCCTCCAATATATATTATATACTACATACTCCTCCAATATGTATTATATACTACATACTCCTCCAATATGTATTATACACTACATACTCCTCCAATATGTATTATATACTACATACTCCTCCAATATGTATTATACACTACATACTCCTCCCATACTCCTCCAATATGTATTATATACTACATACTCCTCCAATATGTATTATACACTACATACTCCTCCAATATGTATTATATACTACATACTCCTCCAATATGTATTATATACTACATACTCCTCCAATATATATTATACACTACATACTCCTCAAATATGTATTATACACTACATACTCCTCCAATATGTATTATACACTACATACTCCTCCAATATATATTATACACTACATACTCCTCCAATATGTATTATATACTACATACTCCTCCAATATATATATTATACACTACATACTCCTCCAATATGTATTATATACTACATACTCCTCCAATATATATTATACACTACATACTCCTCCAATATGTATTATATACTACATACTCCTCCAATATATATTATACACTACATACTCCTCCAATATATATTATACACTACATACTCCTCCAATATATATTATACACTACATACTCCTTCAGTATATACTGTATAATGCATACTCCTCCAAAATATACTGTAAACCACATACTCCTCC